TGATTTAATCTGTAGTTAATTTTTTTTCTTTGATGTTTGAAAATGCACAATTTTATAATATGATAAACACAATTTGTTTTTAAAACTTTTTACAATTTTTTTTAAAATGAACCCTTTTATAATATTAAAATTATTATAACTCTTTTTTAAATGCTATTTTTTAAAACATTTAAAAATTATTATCGTACATTTTAAAACAAAAATTATTTAATATTGTATTCAACACTTTTTTTAAAAAATAAAGAAATTAATTAGAATTTTATATAATTTCTTTAATAAGGTGCAAAATTTGTAAAATGATAGAAAAATTAATTTGATAGAGTTTGTGCGAACAATATTATATCATTTATTTATAAATTTATATATAAATTTATATAAATGTTATGAAAATAACTATTCAGAACTACTCAGTTTCAATAAGCATACATCTGAAATACTTATTGGTGAGTTTTTAATTCTTTCTTAAAGATTTATGGATATATCTCGAATTTTAAATCTATTATTGTTTTTTTTAACTCTTTCTTTGTTTTGCAGCATTAAAAATAATTTTTTAATGAAGCAAATTTAATTTCAAATAAAATTGTAATACACGTTTCTTGTTCCAAACCATTAATCTTTATAAACTCGTCTTTTCCATTCATTAATGAACATGTTATGCCAAGTTTCGTTCAAGATCTGCTCAAAAATGCATTTTTCAAATTTACATTCGTAGTCTACTGAATCAGCAATTTTGAAGTTTAAACCCCTAACGTTAAATTTAAGTTATTACTTTTGCGAAGGTTCAAGAGCAACATTGAAAATATATTTGTTTCCTTATTTTTTGCTTAAGCACGCGAAAAACCGTTCCGCTTAATTTTTAAGTTTTGCAGTCGCGAACGCTAACTCAAATGCTAGATGATGTATCCTAAAGCTTTTCGAAATATTTTTCCAAATAAATGTTATAATTCTTTTCCGAAGAATGCTTTTTATTTTACTGTAAAATATACTGTCTGTGTCATAACGACTGCATTTAATATATACATTTTAGGATTCAGATTACAATGAAATTCAAAGAGTTTGCACATTATAGATCATATGTTGTTGTTGACGTTTGCCTGTTTTAGGCAGAGGGCGTGCAATTGTTCTTGTTTTCCAGTGGCGCCATCTATGGCCAAGAATTCATTCTATTGCATAATGCCACACTGTTCCTACTCCTCCACAGGCACATGTATTGTCTGTTATGGGAACATGGAGGACATTTGCGACTCGACAGATTTAAAGTGCATCAGTCACTTCAGTCGGCGAAGTTCGAATCCACGAACTCTCGGGCATTGGCCTAGCGCCCTGCCAGCCAGGCTATCCCGGCCTTATCGGTCATATAATGTAAAGAGAGGAGAAAAAAGCACTAACGAAATTTTACAAATTACTAAGTCGGAAGTCAAGTGAAAAGATTTTGATACCAATTCGATTGCTTGGATAAACTTTTAAACAAAATTTTGCAAAAAAAAAAGTTTTTTTTTTTGGTGTTTTATAAGATTAGCAGGTGTAAGATTTGGTGTGAAAATGCTCAAAAATATGTGTTTCAGATTTAGCTCCATTTATATAAATGAAAAAAAAAAAAAACTAATTATTGAAGACTAAAGTTGAATCAGTTTTATGCCAAAGAATTTTGTTTTAATTTTTAGGAAGCTGAATGTGTAATGTACGAAAAAGGTTTCCCGCTTAGTTATATTTTTAAGAGATGCTTTCTTTATATTTTCTTGATAGGAGTTACAAATTATACGTAAGCAAGTATCTAAATTTTCAATTTCGATTTTTAAAAAAATAGAAAAAGTATCAAAAATTACATTTGAAAAAAAAATAAATTAAAATTCGAACTAAAAGTTAAACTGGAGGAAATAAATTGTTTGAAAAATATTTCTTCGTGTAGTTTCATAGGTTAAGAAATTTGACAGCAGTTGAAAAATAAGCATATATTTTAAACAAAATTTTGTACAAAATTTTGTACAATGAACTAAAACGCACAGTTCTTATTGCGGTATTAACATCTTAAATTTTTTAAATTTAAGATTCAATTATTATAGTAACATTGAAAATTAAAAGAAAAAAAAGCAGGGTATCTCTGCAGATAACTGCTTACATAATAATGGGAAAAGGATTGGATGGACGTAAGCGTGGAAGAAGATTGTTTTCTATCCCAGAGGAATAGGCTCAAATATTACCAAAAACATATTAATGATTATTTGAATGGTCCCACATGACTGGAAAATCTATACTCGATTAAAGGTTTTTATCAATCAGTTTTGAAATTATTTTCATTGCCTAAATACATGTGTGACAGATTGGTTAATTTTTTCTGGGTCTTTTTTGCTTATATGAATTTGTAAATTGAAAAGTGAATGGGTTAAAATGCATCTGCATGAAAAATTTTGTTAAAAGAAATTATTGAAAGCCTATACACTGTAAAAAGAAAAAACATAATTTTTATGCTGAATAAACTCTGTACACGTTCCTGCATTATAAAAAATTCCGAATCAAATTACGGAATAAAGTACCAGCACTTCGGGTGCATAATCCGTAATATACATTTTTACAGTACAATATTATTCAGCAATTTTTACATTAATATTTTTTTAATTAGTATAATTCAGTAAACTTTAGGTAAATATTACTGTAAAAGTTATGGTATATGTGATTTTTTCTCTTCATATTATATTCTGTTAAAAATGGATTTCTTGGTAACATGTACTGACAACCTGAGAGTCGTTAATTGTTACCGTAATTTGATGTTGTACCGGAATGTTTTACAGTGTACCATTCTCTACAATTCCATTCAACTTTTGCAGTAAACAATAAATGCAAGTAAGGTTAGTATTAAAATGTCGAGGTACCGTTTTTTCCCAATTGATATGACAACAATATCGGAAATGAAAATTTATATATGGGTCATTCTCACGAAAACTGTCATTTTTCAGTTCATAAAATCCCAAAAAAGTAAAGTGAATAAAAAGCTCTGAAACTTTTTATATTAATAGAAATATGTAATGGCATTATAAAGAAAGTATATATCCTATAAATTATACTTAATATTTAAATTAATTAATTTTTTAAATAATTAATTTATAATTAATTAATTTNAATTTAGGTGATATGCTGACAAACTCTTACGTTATAGCAATCTAATCTTATTACAAGCAGCCACTAGAGATCAAAGACTAGCTCGTCGCAAAGATAGTTCTATGTTAATCTTTAATAGTTCTCTGTTTAAATTCGAAAACAAAAAGCTTATAGATTTTTATACGCATATATTTGTGAAAGACGAGTGTCAAGTTATACGCGAAAACAACTTTTAAGAGTTAAGATGTGTCGAAGGAAAAAAGGCTTCTTCAGATTAGGCAATTTCAAAGATAAAATGGAGCTAATTGATTGGAAGTCCCGCATCGTTAAGACACGGTTCCCAGTAGATCACCGAAGTCAAGCATCACTGGCTGCGGTCAGTGTGCGGGTGGGTGACCACTTGGATCAGTCTGCGAAGGGACCGAGGGTGTGCGGTATTGGTCCTCGTTAAACTGTGCTACCGTAAAGTACTCGACTTCGCGTGCAGGTCGTCGGGCTACCGAAGCGGGGGTGCCATCCCCTCTGCAGAGGATCAAAATTGTGATGGCATGTCTTCGGATCATCCTCAGGGATGTTTCCCAGACCGTCGCCAATAGCCCATTGTGCAGCTCTAGTGCGACGTAAATGAACAACAACAACAACAAATAATTGATTGAACTTATTATATTTCTTTTGAGAGATAGATTGTGAAAGTATCTCTCGATAATTTTTACGTTTTTAAGCAACTGTCACCACAGCCTCAAAAATTGTTTTTAAAAAAATCACAAGCTACTTCAAAATCATTAAAGATTATGAATTTTTGTATATTTCTAAGGAAATGTTAAAGAAATACTATGATATCCAAATGTTATTGTTACCGTCATAATTTTTTTCATATATTTATATATTATGTTTGAAGTTTTTTTATTGCACCACGCAACTTAATTTTTGAAAACTATCACCAGTTTTTTTTTAAATATGATCTTTTGCAATTGCATAATCCTTGTCTTATAATTATAGTGAACAATCTGCTTAACATTTTTTAGATCTTCATTTAAATTTGATTTAATTAAACTGTAAAAATGCGTTTTCCTACGAGCGAATATCAATCCATTAAAAAAATTTTTTTTTGTTTTTTTGTTAATCTATTGGTACTCCGTCCTGTTGCGGATAAGAGGCACAAGTTATCTGGAAAAAACTGAACAGGCAGTTCTGAGAATTGATGAACAATAACAAAGTTGGTTGTAAAAATAATTCAAAATCAGCTATGAAATCTATTGTACATTCATTTCATCTGCATTTCATTGTTTATAAACAAACATTGTTTATAAACATTGATTAATCTACATTTCATTATTTACAAGTAAACATTGATTAATCTACACTTCATTGTTTATAAAAAAAGTATTACCGAAATTAGCTAAGTGATATAAATTGAACTGCGTCAGCAATATCTAGTGTTAGCGAGTAGTCGAAGAAGTCACCGGGGTTAAAAAAAATCTGTTCGTCTTATTAAATTATTTTAGTACACACAGTCAGGCCTGAAAGCGAGACGAAAAAGAGAAAATACTGGTAGGAGAACTATTTCAATATTAGATAATATTCGGGAGGAGTTAATCTATTCTTAACAATAAACAATCACTGTAATTAGTTTTTTCTTGGAGAAGAAGCAATTCAATATAAAAATTGTATCCATTAAAAACAATTGGTAGTTATAGATTTTTATTATTCCCGAAAAAAAGCTAAAAAATGAAATTTTTTTGTTATCAGCTTTTAATCTTTTCCGTCTTGATATATATGGGCTTTCAGCCCATGCACACAGTCGTAACATACATTTTTAATAAAAATTGATTTCACTAATTTTGAATAATAAAAGTAATAAGAAAATAACAAATCATTAAACAAGTTCCATTTATTGTTCTTAGTGTAAATTTTACATGCACATAATAAGTTACAATAAATAGAGAAAGAACTTGCAATCAACATTTGGGAGTCTTTCAATTTAGAAATTCATGCTTTTGGAATCACAAAATCGGGAGTTTCGATTAATTGGGGAGTCTTTAGCAGGTTAATACCTAGTTTTAGACTCATACTTTGTTTTGTTCGTAATGTTTGTTTTGTGTGCCACAGATGCAGGTAAAGTCTTTCACTTTTAAAGTCAAGAAGTTGGTAAGGTCTAATAATTCCTGAATCTCGAGGTTGGGAAATGCACACTTTTATAGTCACTCATTCAAATAAGTTTGGAAGTCTTGCGTCGGGTGCGTCTAGCTTTTAAGTCCGAGCCCGAGAATGTCGTCACAATCGGGGAGAGTTACACAACAGGGCAACGTCTATTTTAATAGTCACATATTTAGGCATTTTAGTTTATTTTGAGAGTCACACGTATTCGAAAATTCGTCTGTTTTTAGCACACAGCTGCGTGGAAATGTCTAAAAATCTGGGAGTCAAATACATTCTTTTGTAGTTATATATTCTCCAGTTTGTGTGTCTTGAGTCAAGTAACATTTAGGAAATATCACACACTCAGGAAATGTCACATTCAGGAATTGTCACAGTCGGGAAAAGTCGTAGTCGGGAAAAGTCACAATCGGGAAAAGTCATAGTCGGGAAACGTCACAATCGGGAAAAGTCACAGTCGGGAAAAGTCACAATCGGGAAAAGTCACAGTCGGAAAAGTCACAGTCAGGAAAAGTCTAATAGTCAGGAATTGCATACATTCAGAGTCTCAAAGTCAGGAAATGTGTACTTTTGGAGTCACAAATATGAGAAATTTTGTCAAGATCGGTAGTTCTAAGTCGGGGAATGTCTAGTTTCGGGTTCACTCTGTTTTCTAATATTTCCGCATGAAACACCCAGTAAATAGACGTCTCACAAAGTAGCGGAGACTTCTCCTCTCTTTCTTTCTCGCCTTTTCTCTTTTCTCAGCAAACTCTGGGTTTTGAGCCAATTTCTCTTCCAGAATTTTTGTCAATTGAGAAACATCTCCGCAACTGTAAGAAATAATCCATTTATTGTTAAACAATCTACAAGAAGGTTATTTATGTACTTAAATTTATATCAGACTTTAATTATTTTGTTTATTAATCATGCAAGTGAGAGAATTGCAACAAATACTGTTAAGAAATGAATTTTATTAATAATTGCGTTAACTAATAAGCTTGACAAGGTATTTGTAGAAAGAACGCTGCATTATTTCTTATTATAACAGAATCCAAGTTTTTTTTAAAAATCTGATTTTGACCTTATGCTTAATCATTGAAATATCTTATTCATATCATAAAATTTTTTTAATGTTACAATCACAGTACATTTGATTTTATCATTCAAAATCAAAGAATCTAACAAAATTGGAAAAACATGCACAATACAAACATGCACAATACAAACATGCACAATACAAACATGCACAATTATACAATTATATACAAAGTAATTTTGAAAAGAAAATTTATTTATGAACAACAGCTGCTTACCTTGATGTTTCATTTTTGAAGTGAAACGGAAAATGTCACAATTTGTAATCAAACAACCTTATATATTGTATTGCCTTATTTTAAATACACTAATTAATTAGTCCAGACAGTACTTGAAATGGCTTTGAAAAGCGTAATTTTTCAAAAAAATTATTTAAATTGTTTTCTATGTTTATCGTATGAATACATTATGCTCGATTGTCCACGAAAAACTTCATACTTAGTTAGTCAATATATAAAATCCCAAAAATTGAAGAAAATATATTTTTAATACTTTATCATGTGTATATATAGTGTCAATAAATTTAATGAAACAATTTTTCTCTAAGCTTTTGCTCTTATAGCCAGTTTATACTACTTAAAAACATATTTAATTACAATTTTATATTTCTTTAGTTTAAAAAGAAGACGTGGAATTAAATAAATAAATTATAAAATATACTATTGAAGCGTATAGAAAAGCATATTTGTTATTTAAATTCACATGAAAAGAAATGCATTTATTTAAATAAGATCGATAGCAATTACTGTACCTCTTTAATCCAACAACTATGTCCAATGATTCTTTCACTTTAAAGGACTTGGACAGTATTTTCTTTTCCCTCGAATCAATCTCGAAGTACCAATGGTCACTTCTGTCACTATTAAAATTAAAGAAGAAAATTAATAAAATTAATTCATTATTAAAATTTGTGTACTTTAAGCTAAAAAGGGAAGAGATAAGAACTTGAACTCATTATTAACTTTTGATTTATTGATCGGATTTTCATTAAGGCAAAGAGTTGTGCGACTTTTCTCAAATATGATAAAATATCTGTGCAGGCATTAATTATAAGGATATGAAATCAGATATAAAAAGGTTTACTTAGATTCATTTCTTGTGACGGAATAGGAACCTTTATTTCATAAGAGCGTTCGCCTTCCAATGAGGCGAACCGGGTTCGAATCCCAGTCTATACGAATTCCGCATCCGGCTTGCACCGACCACGTTGCTGACGTGAAATATCCTTAGTGGTAGATGGATCACGGGTTAGAGTCCCCTTGAAGTTAGGCTAACCATAGGTGGTTCTCATGGTCTTCTCTCATGGTCTAACTCAAATGCGGGTTAGCTCCATCAAAAAGTCCTCCACGAAGGCAAATTTCTCCCACTACTCGATCCGGGAGTTCCCTTGTCTTCTGGATTGGGTTCAAAATTACAAGGCTACGGAGTTGAACATTAGCTATCGTAAACCCATAAAATTGGGTTGGCTGTTCAACGACGGTTATAAAATAAAATAAAAGAGAGAAGGAGGCAATTTTAGACAGTTTATTCAAAAGACAATTTATTCAATTTTGGACAATTTATTAATTTTATGCAAAATATTATTCTTTGCATTAATTATCATTTTTAAAAAACGCAAATGGTTGAAACTTTTTGAATTTTTGTTTTGAAAACAAATTTTTAACTAAATTTTATCTATGAAATGTTGAAAGACCAAACACCAAAATTGAAATAATTAATTAAATAGCTCTGGAAAAATAAATATTTAAAAATATGAACTTTTTAAGATAGCAAATTTTGCAAGAAGTAAAATTAACTTTAAGGTGTAAAAGCTCTCAACAGTTCTTTTGACCAAAACAAAACTGATCTATTGAGTCCATGCCTTCTAGACTGTGGTTACAATCTCTATTTTGAATAATAATGTAGGAAAATTAATAATATATTCTTTTATAAAAAATATATATATTTACATAAAACGGAATTGCATTCAGTTAATAAAATAAAATTATGAGCATTTACCGACAGTAAGAAGGAGTTACACAAAACTACGTAACTGCAGAAAATCGGGTTTTAAATTTTGGATTAAAATACTGCTACTATTTAACGGAATTCTCATTAAAATGGACCCGGAAAATATTCATTTTATTTGAAGATGAATAAAATAAAATGTAGGATATTTGCTTCTAAAAGAAAATAACTTAAAAAATTCGAATAAAGTAAAACTACGATTTCGGACCATAAAAATTTAAATCTGGTGTATTAACTAATTGAAGATGCATTTTATGTAGTTTAAAATATGATTTTAATTACCCATTCATATCAACCATCTCTTTATCAAGAATCATTTGTGACTCCTTAGGCTCAATATCACCCCGCAATACATCCATTTTTTCGCTAAAAATAAAAAAAGGAAATTAGTACATCGAATAATTACCTCAAGCTTAACAAATGCCCTACCTGTTAGTTTCTCAAATTAGTGAAAAAATGTGATAGAAAAGCTCTAAAAATATATATATATATGTAATTGAAATTGAAAACTCTATGTATAGTGACATGTTCAAAAGAACACCTTTGAAAACCCATCTTTATTTGTAAATAAACATGGCTGCTAAGTAGAAAAGAAGATCTAAATATAGTAGATCTAAAGACAATTTTTATTCGTAAAATAATTTTAGAATGAAGGTAAGTACAACAAACTATTATCAAATTAGAATTCTTCGATTAATTAATTGTTATAAACTATTAAAATTTGAATTTTGTCCCATTTGATAACGATTTTTCATTTACCAAGATTCATTAAAATAAAAATATATACGCTGTTTCAATTTCAAGCATGCCACTTTACCTTGTATTGAATGTGTGAGTTTTAGTCTCGACTATATTTATTTCGGTGTAATTTTGAGAAGCTCCTTTTTTGAAGTATTTGCAAGAAATGATTACTTATCAAAAAGTAAAATTATTAGTGTTTTTAAACCATTTTCATCCCTTTTACGTTTATGCTTCACATTAATTTTTTGTAATTCATCTAGGTCTGATTAGAACAAATTCATTTAGTTTGCACTTTTTAAATAAATTTGAAATATATATTTTCTATTCATTTCATGCGTAAGCTTCCAAACAAAAAAAGTAGATTATGTTTTAAAAATTACAAAGTTAAAAATTAAAATTTTGTTTAAAATACTTAATCTCAATAATATTTAAATTATTTAACCAACCTATTCACTATAGCAACATTTTCATTGGATGAGGATGATTCATTTGGCTCTATTTCAGCACTCAACTCTACCATGTCATCCCTAAAGATGAAAAATAAAATTACCATATTATACAGTTAACGCGTCAAGTTTAACACATGCTTCACATATAATAGCATGTCTTTTATTAAGAAGAATTAATTCATACTTGTATGGATTTTGCACAATTTATTTTAAATCATTAAACTCTGACTATTACAAACTATTTCAATTTGCATTTATTAAAAAGATGTCTACACAATTATTTTCTAAAGTTTCTACGATGAAAATCAGCATGCAAAAGTAGCAACATAAATACCATTTAATATATAATATCTAAAATTGCTAAATATTTAAAATCTCACTAAAGACAATTAATACAATAAAAATAAAATAAAAGCTAAATATCCAAACCTATCCAAAATTTCATACTCTTCATCATCAGTTGTAGATGACTAAGAATGCTCTATTTCAGCACTCAGTTCTTCCATATCATCGCTAAAGGAAAAAAAATTAAATTATTGCATTATATTTTTGCTTCAATTTTGAGACATAAGTTTGCTTAACACATTTTATAAAGCTGAAAATCTATAATAACAAGTCTTCTTTTCATGAGAATTTAAGCGTATTTTCTTGCACTTTACGTATAGGCCTTATATATTTACATATCTCATATAACAGCTAAATAATTTAATTTACATAATTTAAAAGTTTCTTAGTGATTCCAATATGAAAATATGTATGCAAAAATACCATTCTGCTGCGCAATTAAAAAAAAACATCGTAAGTTATCCACGATAGATTTCCTTGACTTATATTTCATTTATGTTGCTAACTCTATGAACTCTAACATAAAATTTAAAAAACTAATGAACGCAATTTTTTTATGAAAAAAAAAATTTGCAATTGGTAGCATACATTACAAAAATGCCAAACAAAGGAAAAAAAATGGAATTTTTTCGAAATTTTTTATTTTTATTAGAAATTTTTATTTCGAAGTTTTCGAATTCTGTTTTATTTTCTATTGGATGGTAGTATTTTGTATGCCAATATACAACAAATTTTGTTGAATATTTAACACTAGAAAGACTGAAATTTAGTATATATCTACATTGCCCAAAAGCAGTCAAAATGACCGGATTGTAAAAGTATAAATAATGTGTAAAAATATTTGTTTGAAATTAATTTTTAATTTTTTTTTTATTATTTACAGTTAGATAACAAGCTATTAATAAATATTAACAATAAAAAAAATTATATGTAGTACAAAATTCTAAGAAATTGTATCATTATATACATCGTTGTATTTCCAATTGAAATTAAAGCAGTCAAAATGACTTCCTTAGGCAATCTAGTGTTGAAGCGGTTTAAAATACAAATATTACAATCGTTTAAAGATAATAACTCGATTTGGTACCTATCATTAGCTTCATCCTTATCCTCATCAGAAGTCAAATTTGACTCCTCACTCACTACCTCACCCTCAACCTCCAGCATTTCGTAGCTGAAAATAGAAAGAAAATAATATATTTATAGATTAGATATTTATAGACAGAATCTAATTATCTCAAGATGGTTATCTTTTATAAGTTTCTTACTCGACTCATATTTAAGCCATTATAAAGACTAATTTAATGTGAATAAGTTAATATTGATGAAATAAATTTATAAAAAACATCTCTTCACATATTTTTCATTTTTATATTAACATTTTATATCGATATTCACATTTAATATTTTATCTCCATATTGCAGGTTTTAAATATAAAATCTTGCGCAATATTTTTTTTCAAACAATGATATTTAATCTAAATTATTTAAATGCGATGATTTCTTTGCACTTCTTGAAAAGGATTTTTTCTTTGTATTTATTTATTTTTTATTTCGTTTATTTATTTATTCCTTATTTTATTTATTTATTCTTTATTTTATTTACTTTTTATTTTTATTTCATTTATTTACTTTTTATTTTATTTATTTGCAAATTTATTTTAATTTTATTTACTTATTTTTTTATTTACTTATTTTTTGTTTTATTTACTTATTTTTTATTTTATTTACTTTTTATTTTATTTATTTTTATTTATTCATACATTTATTTTTATTTTATTTTTTTATTTTATTAACTTTTTATTTCAGTTATTTTTTATTTTATCTGTTTATTTATTTATTTTTCGAACTTTAAAAAATTACCATTTTTCTCCTAAAAAATAATACTCTATTTGTCAATCCAAATCATATACTTACCCATCTGTTTCAGATGAACTACTGCTGGTGTCCTCTGCAAGAAATCCAGGCGCTAAAGTCAGATTATTAATTAAATTATTAATTAAATTTTAATGCAGCTTATTTTTTACTAATTTAAATTTGGGTAACAAAAATGTTTTATGATTACTAAATATATCATAACTGGATAATCAAACATAAACTGAAGAATTGTAACACAATATAGTTTTTAATTTCTTTTATAGTTAAAATATTATAGTTTTTAACTAATATGTAATTGTTTCAAATCAAAAAGTAATGTAAAAGAAAAAAAGATTTGAATGAAATGCATAATAACGCAATGATTTATTTAAGAGCAAAGAATCTTTTTTTTTATGAAAGTACAAATAACAGCATTTTCTTTCTAAACCTCCTTTTGACGAGCTTAGTTTTGTTTTAAATCTGCGGTTCACCAAAACCAAATTCTTTATTTAATGTATAATAATTAAAATATTATGCGAATAAACACTTTACGGAAGAATTTTCGTATTTCATTTCAGTTCAGTTTCAACGATTTTCAAATAAGATTAAATTAAAATATTCATGCAATGAAATCACAAATTGAAGAATTAGGTATTGTCTCACACAAAATAATACAGACTTCTAATATTGTATATTACCACTTCCTGCTTAATTATAAAAAGTCTTAGATAGATCCTAATCAAGATTTGGTGATAGTTCGAAATTTATCTTTTACTTAAAATATATAAAATTAATAGTTTTCATGCTTACGATAAGGCCTTGGATTCCTTATCAACTCTTTTTGCCAGTGATTAAGCACAGCAAAACGAAATAATTCACTCATTTTTCACAAATTATAAGTCACTTGTCAAAAAAGACGTTATTCACTTATAAAAGTTCAAATAAGAATGAGGAATTAATATTTTCTGCTATATTGTTGGTGTTATTAACAATTATCTTTTTCGGCAACAATGTTTAAGAAAAACCATTAAAACAATGAACAAAGGAATAAAGTTTTATTTAACTCTCTTAAGTATTGTTGTAAATGTTGTCATATTTAGTTGTTCCAAGGGTTTTAAGGCAATGAAAAAAACAACAATGACTAAAAAGTTCGGAACTGTAATTTAGTATTTTGTGAGAATTCAAATGAAATCATAAATTTATAATATCAAAATGACATTGTATTGATTAATTTTTACTAAAACTGTAAATGAAATATATTGATATTAAGCTAAAATTTTTTAATATCAAATAAATCAGAATTACTCGTTTTTTATATGAGGATTTTTAACTTTTTATGAAGAAATTTTGAAAGCCCCTTGTCACCTTAAAATGAACATAAACTTTTTTCTTCATAGTTCAAATATAGTTTGTATTTTAAAATTACACAAGTATCAAAATTGACAAACCTATAAAAAATTCCTTTTAAGTGAAATTTACCGAAAAATGGAGGAACACTTATTGACATATCCCCCCACAACACACTAGCTTCTGGCGAACAATATTGGCTAGACGACGAAATTGTTTTACTGCATGATTGCAGTAGCAGGGATGGTCATTAGGGTTGCCTTGAGCGCAGTTCACCAACCTTTCTTAAGTAGAGATTAGATATTAGCAGCGCAGTCCACCATGTTTTAGAAAACCATTAGCGCAATCCGTTATCACCGTATGGCAGCACTTCGCATGCCTTGACCGTTAGCGTGTGGAGAGTCATAGAAGAAGGAAGTGCATTAGTCTATGTTTTGATTTTCAAATAGATTAAAATCTTTTAAGCTAGAAAAATGTATGGAACTGTAAACTACATTAAACATGGTACTAAAAGAAAGCATCATGGAATTAAAAAAAAATATTTTTAACAATTAAATACGAAAGATATTAAGAGAAGGAAAAAATATCATAGCACATTTCTATACAACTGAAAGGAAGAGGATAGAGAAAGGGTCAAAGGTATGAAACCGGTTTTCTCGCCACATGGCGTATTCGAGCGTAGAGATAGCGAATAAGAAAAAAAAACCCCCATTTTTAATGCTTTAGAAGGTATGACTGTATTTGTATATTTATAATAAATACTTGTTTTTGGCATAGTCCTTGAAAAAATGCTATACACAGTGCAATGAGGTCTAAACTGAACATTTCATATTGCTGTAAAACATTCTTAACCTAATTATAGACCTGGAATTTATTTTACAATGATGTGAAGAGTAATAACATTAGGGATGCATCGAGTACCAGGCAATTATCCAGTACCCGGCCGGCGTTTCATTGCCCGGTTATTATCCCGAAAAATGTCACTATTCCGTATCGGGTACCCGTACCAGGTTTTTATTCTGAAAACCCGGTACCGGGTGTCCGAAACACGAACAGTTTTACAAGTAACACTCATTTATGCTCGTCTCAATTAAATTCAGATTTATAGTAACATTCAAACTATTCATAAAATTCGTTGTGGTCTTAGCAATCCATGTATTTTATTAGTTTCTCAATAATTGAGCTGAAATAGCTGGTTTAGAAGCGGCATATTTTACTCTTATGCAGAATTTTAATTCAGAAAAACTACGGTGGGTCTTAGCGGAGTCTAGGATTGAACCCCTGACCCTCCGTACTAAGTCAGATTCTCTAACAATGGGTTACCACGGCCCTTTTTCCTGGAAAGGCCGCTATATCGAGGAAAAAGCTCTTCATTATAAATTCTCTGTCATTTACATACAAAAAAATAAGTTCAGGTAAACGTAGAGTAAGCCACGAGGTTTCAAATGCTGAAAAAGTATCGAAATGCAAACGAATTATGACATGATTACTTAGAATTACGCAGTAAAGAAGTAATTCTGCCATGATTTACTTGCATTTCAATATTTCGAAAGCATTTTTTCAGTATTTGAAAATTTACGATTTATTCAAGGTTTACATGAACTTTTCTTTAAATTTTGAAACATAAATCACTAACGGAGGCGAAGCTGAACTTGCCATGAACAGTTTCTCTCGCGGTAAAAAGTTCTCTGGATGCCTAATCTCTAAAAGAGTTCTATTGGTGATCGAAATGGGCTACAGGTGGCTCAGAGTACAACTCTCTAGCCATGACAACACTTCGAATGCTCCCTCCCCCCATTAGCAGGTGGATAGTCACAGGAGAAGGAAGTACATTAGTTACTGTCTTGATTTTCAAAGAGATAAAAATTTTTTAAGTTAAGATACTACATAGAACTCAAAACTGCATTAAATATCTTAATAATGCCCCGTGGAAATTTAAAAAAATCATTTTTGACAATTAAATACAAAAAATACTATAGAAAGGAAAATTTTTACAGTACATTCACTCTTAAGACACCTATGGATGGTTCGTAGTGTAAAGTGAAGCACAGATGGCGCTAGGGGTTAAAATTCGTCTTAAGACTTCCGGGTTACCACTTTCGAATGATTTTTTTCGACTAATCTTGAAAAAGCGCGCCATTATACTTGTAGTGTTTACAATATAAAGCGTTTTTTTTCAATTTAAATTTCAACGAAATAAACAACAAATGGATTCTAAAGACGCCGCAAGCATGCTATGATGCTGTACAAAACATAACGAACTGCTATATTTTACACTAATATAGTTAAAAAGAGATAATGATCAAAACATTGCAAACCTTACTCGAATCTTAGTTGTTTCGAGCACGTGAATACGATGCTCATTTTCTCGACAACAGGCGAATAAAGATTTATACAACAGTTCCAGTTCGTTTCATTATGAGTAATTTTACAATAATCTCTAGAATGTAATTACTGTGGTGAATGTCAATCTATTGATCACTTGTTAATGAATTGTTCTCAATTCCGGACACTCCGGGGCAATCACTTTAATAATATTAGTCAACATCAATGCTGTGCTAACCTGACTTGCAGAAATATCATAAAAAAGATTATTAAACAAACTTTAGAGGATCTATTGGAGGACTGTCTTTAACGGTCTCGGAATCTGCTCGTTCCAACTTGGGTGTCTCAATTTTATTGATGGTATAGTTTTATAACTTTTACTATGCCTTTTACTTGCTCCAATTTTATTGTAATTACTTTTGTACTATTTGATTGGTTTTAAAAGTACTGTTTTAAAATGTTATACTATATTGTTCTTTTGTAAATTTTGCACATTTATCTTTTAAATTGTTCTTTTAACGGACACTTTTAATATATTGCTGTTTTAAGGTTTTATCACCTTACATGATTTTTGCTGCTCTGCGCCCGTCATGTTCATGGGCTGTTTGCCATGTCTGATATGTATTTTATGCTTGTATTGTTTTCTGAATTTTTTTGATTTTAATAAACATTTACCCGCATGCCCTACATAAGGACGGGTCGGGGAAAATATTTCCATGAGTAATTTTACAAGGATACTAAAAATATGCCACAACACCCTGTATAAATGTAATTTTTTTAATATTAGGACACATAACACTTCATTTAGATAACATTATAACACTATAGGGTTATATAATTTAGCTTATAACACTTATTACTTAATAACACTTCAATTGACGAAGAGAATTAAATTTGCTATACGAGGTAAAGTTTGTTTCGAAACAATGATCAAAAAAATTTTTTTGAACGGAAAAATTTAGAAAAATAAAACACTTCTTTTAGAAAGAAAAGTAATACTGAGTTATAAAAAAATCAACATTATAAAAGAGCTTCATAAAGAAAATAGAGAGGAAAGAAGAAAATGATTTAGATTGGCGGTCATGTTGAAAAATGATTTTGAAAGTTTAATAAAAATATATTAAATGTTGGAGATTTTTCATTATAAAATTGGAGAAGATGTATTTCTAAAATACTAGTTTTATTTTATATGAAATTGGGGTGTTATTTTAAAGAAATAATAAGTAAAAAGAACTTGTAAAAAAAAAAAAGAAAAACATTAGTTCTAAATTGTTTGTCATTTCTACAAAGAGTAAATTGGAAAAATAAAATTTAGGAACAATTTTTGCCGGAAATAAATCACGTGTACATGAAGCTAATGTTTTTTTTCCCAGACAAGAAAAAATATTTATCTCTAGAAGTGAATAGGAGGTAAGAAATAGAAAAATACACAATACTTGTCTAATGAGAGAAAGTATTATAAAGCATTTTAGAGAAA